TTTCATATAGTTCAGAAAGAGAAATGTAAAACATAAAACAAAAACAAGCACTCCCCCCCCAGAAAAGAACACTAAAACTGGCAAAGATAGCAGAATGGTATGTGAATGTTCACCATACTACTCTTTCAACGTTTCTGTTGAAAATCTCCAAAATAAAAATTTTCAAAATGCAAAATAGGGGAGGAAAAAAATAAACACAAAAAACAACCAAACTGAACTAGGATTCTCAACGATTGACTGAAAATGCTTCCAAATGTTTTATCATTTATTTGGCTTACCCTCACCAAATGGGAGTTGATTGGGTGGTCACAAGATATAATTTTCATTTGGACAAGATTTCTCATTGATGTGGAGAGTCTTCCAGTGAGCTTCTGCCCTTAGTCCATCAGGCATACCAATCAGAAAAATCACATTTACCTAGTTAGCTGTCCAAAATCCAACATCACTTAAGGGGTAAAAAGTATCACTTGATATTCTTTCCCCCCACCCCCACAAAGAATCGTAAAAATCAAGCAGCGTGTTAGATATGGTCATTACAGTTAAATCACTCTTCATCCAAATTGACTGAATTGTGCTATTTTTATCAGAATACTGACGGGGATGAAGACATAGCCGGGGCACCTAAACAAAAGAATGCTGAACATGAATTGCTATTGAATTTGTTCCCAACCAGACTGCTTGGTGGGATCATGGGGCGCTTGTATATCTGAGCTTGTTTATTAAAGAAGAGTTTTCATTAACGTCTTGGGAAAGTGTTTCTATTAAATCTTATCTTGAATGAGAAAAATTTGTAACTTGAAAACGTTTATGAATATTTCATAAGAATCGTCTTAGGATGCATGCTTGTGTGTGATAGCCTGGCAAAGGTTGACAGATATGTGGAATATTGTAATAACTTGATGGATGCATATGGAATGTTTAATGAAAAGTGAAAAGTGCCTGCTGGGCTGCTCTGAACATCTTCCAGTATTGTGCTGAGTTTAGTTGGTTGTTTAACAAAATCCTCACAGAGAGGAAGAGTTTCTAATTAATGAGTTGAAATGGCAGGATTTTTTTATTGCCCTCAATAGGCCTATAGGAAACATGATGGGGACTAAGGGTCGATGATTTTATTCTTTGTTTCTGTTTACTAAATCCGATTTTTAAAATACATATCTGAACAAACTAGGTCTTACTGAGTAGGCATACATAATTTTTTCTGAGGTGGGGGTCCTGTATACTTGTGTACTCTGTTTGATGACTCAGAATCCAAGGGAATTTCACTACCTTTCATAGTTACAGGAGAATGTGAGTAGTTTAGCACACAGTAGCAGAAAAAACCAGCAGATACTAGCACTGTATCGGTATTATAAAGAAAAAGCTTCCTGGGCTAATCTTAGCAAGAGAAAGATATACAAAAGTGGAAAAATAATCTTTCCCAGGAATTGTAAATTGATAGATTATCAGGTTCAGTTTGATTTACTTTATTTTAAAATGGACAGAAGAAATTGAGGAATGGATACAGGAATTATTGGTAGATCAGAAAATTGTGGGGAACTATTTGAGAGTTATTTAATCTAAAAAAAAAAGGAAGAAGAAGGCGGCTGAGGAGAAAGTTAAAAAAGTCTTCAAGTACATAAAGGAGTTTTCTTGTATTATAAAATTAGGAGCTTTTTCAGTCTTTGCAGCAGTCAAAGCTATAAAACATGGGCTTAAATTATACCAAAGTATATATACGTTATGTATAAATACTTTTTATAAAATAGAGATGATTAATCACTGGAAAAGTCTTCCAAAATGGTTGTCCAATGTACTTCTATAATGTCTAATGTTTACTGATCCTCTCTTTTTTTTTTTGGCAATTCACTGCAATGTGTGGAGATGGGAAAAAATACTAGCCATTTACCCTTCTCTTTATACTGTTTTGACCGCTGGTAAAAGAAAACTTTCAGACAATAAGGAGGCCCAGAATGTCATCAAATAATATTGATGGTTTCATGATCTAAGAGACTAAAATATCTGTCCTTTTTGAAAGCAGAATCTTTGGCATTTATGAACTCATTTTATTCTTTAAGATTACAATTCTAGTAAAAGATGGTAAGATACTGGACTTTTTTCATTCAACTTATATCAAATGACCAAAGAGAAATGGTCAACAGTCAACATTTCAGGAGGTAGCATATGATCAAAAGGTGATGGTAGTGAAGGAAGAATGCCAAGCTGTTCTGAAGGCATTGGTGAAAAACAAGACTCCAGGAATTGACTGAATACTAATTGAGAGGTTTCAACAAATAGATGCAGGGCTGGAGGTGCTCACTTGTCTATACCAAGAAATACGGAAGACAGCTGTCTGGCCAACTGACTAGAAGAGATCCGTATTTGTGCCCTCTCCGAAGAAAGTCCATCTAACAGAATGTGGAAATTATCGAACAGTATCATTAATATCACACGCAAGCAAAATTTTGCTGAAGATCATTCAGAAATGGTTGCAGCAGTCCATCAACAGGGAATTGCCAGAAATTCAAGCTGGATTCAGAAGAGGACTTGGAACTAGGGCTATCATTGCTGATGTCAAATGGATCTTGACTGAAAGCAGAGAATACCAGGAAGATGTTTATCTGTGTTTTATTGACTATGCAAAGGCATTCGACTGTGTGGATCATACCAAATTATGGATAACATTGCAAAGAATGGACATTCTGGAACACTTAATTATGATCATGTGGAACCTGTACATAGACTAAGAGGCAGTCGTTCAAACAGAACAAGGGGATACGGCTTGGTTTAAAATAAGGAAAGGTGTGCTTCAGGTCTGTATCCTTTCACCATACTTATTCAATTTGTATGCTGAGCAAATAATCCGAGAAGCTAGACTATATGAAGAAGAACATGGCTTCAGGATTGGTGGAAGACTCATTAACAACCTGTGATAGGCAGATGACACAGCCTTGCTTGCTGAAAGTGAAGAGGACATGAAGTACTTACTGATGAAGATCAAAGACCACAGACTTTAGAATGGATTACAGCTCAACATAAAGAAAACAAAAATCCTCACAACTGGACTAATAAGCAACATCATGATAAACGGAGAAAAGATTGAATTTGTCAAGGATTTCATTTTACTTGGATCTACAATCAACACCCATGGAAACAGCAGTCAAGAAATCAAATGACGTATTACATTGGGCTAATCTGCTGCAAAAGACCTCATTAAAGTGTTGAAAAGCAAAGATATCACTTTGAGGGCTAAGATGCACCTGACCCAAGCCATGGTATTTTCAGTTGCATCATACGCATTAGAAAGCTGGACAATGAATAAGGAAGACCCTACAAGAATTAATGCCTTTGAATTATGGTGTTGGAGAAGAATATTGAATATACCATGGACTGCCAGAAGAACGAACAAGTCTGCCTTGGAAGAAGAACAGCCAGAGTGCTCTTTGGAAGTGAGGATGGCAAGACTTTGTCTTACTTGCTTTGAACATGTTATCAGGACAGACCAGTCCCTGGAGAAGGACATCATGCTTGGTAAAGTCGAAGGTCAGTGAAAAAGAGGAAGACCCTCAGGAGATGGATGGACACAGGGGCTGCAACAATGGGCTCAAACATAGCAACAATTGTGAGGGTGGTGCAGGACCGGGCAGTGTTTTTGTTCTGTTGTACATAGAGTTGTTATGAGTCAGAAGTTACTCAAGGGCACCTAACAACAACAACATGGGAAATTCTATAATTTTTGGAAAGTTCCCTTTCAGGGATGCATCAATTTAATATGTGTCTTTATTAAAAAAAAAAAAAAAAAATCACAGGAACATGTTTGTGTATTTAAATGATAGGAATATTTTATCATGTTTTTTCAGTCAAATTATATGAAGTATTACTTAACTATTACAGAATTGAGCACTGTGTACATGGATCAGTGATTTTCATTTGTGAAGTTTACTAGTGTCTATGCTATTCTGGCTAAGAAAAACCCTGTTTGGGCTACTACATTAATATCATAGGAAGGATGTTACCATTCCTCACTGCTATAATCTTAGCATGATCTGCAGAGACCATCTCAGTGAGGTGCAGACCTGATTTATTCTTCCAGCTAAAAGTCATTTGTCAAGTAAAAATTGATCATACTTCAGTTTAAGGTAACAATCATTTATTTTGATAATTTCATTATTCTTATTGCCAAAAACTGTCCTAACAATGCATTCCTATGTAGACTCTCACAGTATACTGTAAAAAGGATAAAGGGCATTGAATCCCAGTCACCATGGCCCTGTCCATCACTTGTTTACTACACAGGAAATGGAAGGCCAGATCATTTGAAAAGTGCCACTTATGCTTTATATTATCATTCCAGTCTCAAGCAATCTTTGTGGCAGAGCTAAGATATTTAGCTTCGTGGATCTGATTACTGTAGACCCTGATTTCTGTTAATAGCCATGTTTATCATCTTAATGTTAAATTTGCTTCTAGCAATTTACTTAATCACATAAATGTATGATGCATTGAACCTGCTGCATTTGACATCAGATAAATATTGAGGGTTGAGAAGCTTACTTCTGCTATGTCATCCCTGGTACAGCCCTCTCTATTCCAGAAAATGGTTTGAATTATCCTTTTTAATATAGAATATGTACCTGGGAAGCTTTGAAAATCATATCCTATACATCCCATTTCTCATATCAAATGGGGTAAATTGGTCCTTAATTTTAGGTCCACAGAAATCCAAAGTTATAGGTTATTTAATCATTTTTCTTGGATCGTTTATCTGTTTTAAGGTAAGGGTACTGGTATTTTACTTTTAAGTATATCCTTTTCTCAGAGATGGAAAAACCCAGTGGTAAAAATAAGGGTATGAGAAAAGTAGATCTCATCATTGCATTATAGTACTAACATATAATAATAATAGCACGCAGATCTATTACAGACGAGAGTGAGGAGTGGAACCATTTCAGTTTCTGCTATTAAAAAAAAAAGAAAGTTGCCGTCGATTCGATTCCGACTCATAGCGACCCTATAGGACAGAGTAGAACTGCCCCACACAGTTTCCAAGGAGCACCAGAGTGTCCAGTTTCATCTACAGAGTATCCATTTTCCAACATCTATCTCTAAACATTTAGTCTTTTTCAACTTATAGTTATATATTTTAATGTTGTTGTTGTTGATTGCTGTGAAGTCGACTGGGACTCATGGGGACCCTACGTACACAGAGTAAAACTGCTCCATAGGGTTTTCGAGGCTGTGACTTTTCAGAAGCTGATCACCAGACCTGTCTTCTGAGATGCTTTAGATTCCCATAATGATTTTAATATATATTTCAGTTGCAAAACATTAGGCTTCAAGGGTGTAGCTTTGTTTACAATTATCACGTGTCGTTGGTTGGTGCTGTTGAGTGGGTTCCGACTCATAGCGACCCTGTGTTCTACAGAAAAAACACTGCCCGGTCTAGTGCTGCACCATCTCCTCATTAGCATGTGGCTCATGAATATATATGAGCATGAATGTTCATTGTAGGTTGTAACATAAGTGTTTGCTAGAATGCGAGTTATTTATTTGTGTGTTTATGTTCTTACAATTGATCTCCACACATAACATTTATAGACATGAAAAATTCATCTTCCTTATTCACCAGATTTTAATTTGGTGACATATTTGCAAGTAACCAAGATAATTTATCTTTCTCTAAGTATTTCATTTTAAAGTATTCTATTATAATAACAGTTTCTTATTCTAAACCAATGCCAAGGATTTTTAAGTGCTACACTAGGTTATCTTCTATATTAAAATGGTGTTGTTGTTGTTTCATTTATTTAGAAAAGATTATCAATAAAGATTATCTATAATAAATTCTTAATTTTAAAATAATATACAAAGCTATTAAGAAACTTACATAGATCAGTTATTAGAACAAAGATGAAAAAAGTAGACCATTTATTCTCCTTCGTGACCCTAGTCCAGGAGTATTTCATAAGGCATACTCGGCATGTATGTGTGTATATGTTAAAAAATATTTTCATCACATTTAGTTTTGTGATATAAATTTATGATAAGAATACAGGCTTTTTTTTTTTCTTTATACATTTCTGTTGATTCAAAATAATTTACAATGAGCATGTATTACACATTTTTTTTAATCCAACAAGTAAAAGGAGTTAAGTCCCTTAATCAATAAGCATTTCTTTGAATTATTTGAGTTTTAAAAATAAACTGACTGTAGATTAGAGCCTGGTGATGTAGTGGTTAAGAGCTTGTCTGCTAACCAAAGGTTGGGCAGTCTGAATCGACCAGCCACTCCTTGGAAATCCTAAGGAGCAGTTCTACTCTGTCCTATATGGTCGCTATGAGTTTTGCTAAATATAAATAGAAATATTTCCCAAAATAGGTAATATAGCATATTACAGCAAAGAGCTATCTGAAAATAAAATAAATGTATATTATATGGACAATATCATGACTGAGTTCCTGGTTGATACAGGCAGTTAAATTGCATGGCTGCTAACTGAAAGGTTGGAGGTTTGAGTCTACCCAGAGGCCTCAGAAGAAAGGCCTGGCAATTTACTGTCAAAAAATCCACCCTTGAAAACCCTGTGGCATCCAGTTCTATTCTGACATACGTGAGGTCTCCGTGAGTCAGAATCGACTTGACAACAACCGGTACTGGCACTGGTATTTCACTGTATTGGTCAAACAGTTTCTCAGTGCTTATCCACTTTTTACTGAATAAAGATACCTCCACAATTTGAAACTGTGGTAGTAAAGATATGGCAGCATTGCAGAAGTTTTTCTGATATTAGAAAGAAGCCAGGGTAGAGTGGTAGTAGAAAGAAATTGTAAAAATCAAAGACCACATTCCAATTTCATCATGTGTTTGCTGATTGAAGATGTACCAAGAGAAAAATCCAAGATAATTTATCTTGTTCATCTAAGTAGTTAACGAATGTACATCCATATGTGTTTTCAGGAAGATCGCGTTTCTCAAAAAGTGATCAAGAACTGTATTTCCTTACATATTTCCAGAAAACTAAAATTGTATATAGCTTTTCCATTTATATCCAAGCCTGGAAATCTTTTAGCGGGCCACTGTGTACAGTTGTCCATGGCATGCAATGCGTATCTTATGGGGCAACATTCACAGCATAGAATAAGGAGTCTGTCTGTTTCTTAAAACCAATTTCTGGCAGACAGCAGTAAAGTGTATTCTTCTAACAAAATCAGTATATTATGACAAATTTTAGCCAGATGGAAGTCAAGTGTCTTGAGGACACTTGTCTTATATGTACCTCTAGACCATATGGCTTCTTTGTGCATTTTACTAAGAGCTCAAAATTTGCCCGGTATAAAATTGTAACATTTTTTAACTCTAAAGTACAAAGATCAAATAGAGTAACACATGACCATTTTAAGTACTATGCCTAGACATTCAGTAAAATACATTGGTACTCTTTTTGTTATTTTTATTAGCTGCAATAACAACAAGAACAATAATAATTTTTAACAAAATAACTCCAAAGGCGGTTTCATTTTCTAGGATCCATAACAGAATCTGCCAGCAGTTAGATTGACACATACATGGTGTAAACCATTCTAATTTTTTTAAAGTCATAAATAATGAATTTTATAAAAATGCATCCATATTAAAAATAATTGCTTTTTTAAAATAAAAACTATACCCTATTAAATATGAGTATGAATTAGATAAATTTCTATAAGTAAATACGAGTAACAACCTAAAGAACAAGGTTTATCATAAATAATCATTGTCCATGATTTGATTGTAATTATTTCATTGTCGAGTTTATTCAACTACTAAGGTCTGTATTTTTCTTTGTGGTGTAATTCTTGCCCTAAAATGACTTTTGAGGATCTCATTGCAAGTGTATTTTTTAAATTAACCCCACAGCTTTCAGCAGTTTTGGGCAAGAACACATTTCTTGCAAGTCATAGAAAACTGACTAAGCAGCTGTGAAGAACATTCAAACAGAATTTTTATAATTGGAGTAGATAGGAATAGAAATTCTATAAATAAAACTGTTTATTTAGAATGATGAGGGAGTTCAGTTTTCATACGGATGAAATCTAGTTTTTTCATCTTCCACCTCCATAGTATGGTCAAACTAATTTTACTAATCCTCTCTTTCCGGAAATCACTTCACCTTCTCATTACCAATCCTCAATTCTAGAGTCATTAAGGTATGCTAGCTACTAGTGGTTGGACCTAGTTCTTATCAAGAAATGTTATCTATAAGCTTAGGGAAGCTCTTAGCAAAGATCACTGATAATTTGCAAGGTATGACTTCCAATACGTTCACTCAAAGCCCAAGCATCTGGAACCACTGAAGGTAATATATTTCAATATATTTACCATTGGATGGTACCATCCATGGAAATTTTTGTTTGATCTTGATTAGATTTTGTCTCTGGTGTGTTACCATGTGCCCATATTTTGACTAAGATAGCTATACAAATAAGAAATTATAATATGAGGTGATCATTGAGGCAAAATTCCTAATTTATTTCCTCCTTTCTGAAAACAGTAAGGTTATGGCAAGGGCTATAGGCTTATAAACCACTACAGGGGAATGAAGAATAGAACCAATAATATATCAGTCTACTACGATGGTCATACTTCCAGAAATAGAATTGCCTTTATCCATTCTTGTCCTTCTTCAATCGTTCCTTCATTCAGTAGCCAAAGGCATCTTTTTCTCACACAAACCTGATCATATCAAACCATGATTAAAACTCTCCAGTGGATCCTACTACTATTAGCATAAAGACCAAAATGCTTAGTATCACTTACAAATCTCTTCATACTCTGACATCTGCTTAACTCATCTTATACAACTTTGCTTCTTAGCTCTCACCTTCTTTTAGATTCTAAAATGTACCATTTACCCACTAACCTCAGGACATTTGTTTATTCTAGTTTCCTCTACCCTTTTTTCTCCTCAAATTCTATTCAACTTTCAGATCATATTATCACTGCCTTAGGTAATCTTTTCCTGATCACACAGAACATATCAGGCCTAGCCAATAAATGTTTACATAGGCCTTTTTTTTTTTCCTTAACAAATATCACGGTTTACAATTTAATATACTTGTGTAGTATTATTTAATATTTGACTGGTGCAATGTTTAAGTGCTTGGGTGCTAACCAAAAGGTTGGCAGCTCAAACCCACGAGTGGCTCTGTGGGGGAAAGACCTGGAGATCTGCTTCTGTAAAGATTACAGCCCAGGAAACCCTATGGGGCAGTTGGACTCTGTTGTATCGGGTCGCTATGACTCCAGATCGACTTGACAGCACACACCAACAAGTAGACAGTAAGTTCATGTAGGAATAGAAGTTGTTTTCTCTTTTTTATCCACTATTACACCTTTAACTTTTGGCACTATCTCTAGTCCTTGATACATAGTAGGTATTTCTCAGAAATTATGTGTTAAATGAATGAATAACTTAACAAATGTATCTAGTTAATATACCGGAGAGAAATTCTAAACCTAACTGTATTTTCAACTCGAAAACCACTTTTTATTAGCTTATTGCCTAGCTGGGTCTATCTATCCAACATATTTAACATTCAGGGGGACAAGAGGAATCTAAGCCAGTGGGAGTAAGAGTAGTCAAACTCTAATCAGAGTAATTTTGAAAGAAACTTTTCCGTGGTGTGCCAAATTTATATATATATATATATAATTTATTTTATTTTTGTTGAGAATATACACAGCAAAACATACACCAATTCAACAATTTCTATACGTACAATTCAGTGACATTGATTACATTGTTCAAGGTGTGCAACCATCCTCACCCTCCTTTTCTGAGTTGTTTTCTCCCCCATTAACATAAACTAACTGCCCCCATCTGATCCTTCCAGTTGCTATTGTCAGTTTGATCTCATATAGATATTAAAAGAGCATAATGTTCAAGGCAGACATTCTTTACTAATTAAGCTAAGCTATTGTTTGGTTTTAAGAAGATATGAAAATGGCTTGGGGGCAGTATTTGACCTCCTCCAACCCCACAAGGGGAAAGGAGAACCAAGATCAACAGCAAAAGGCTGA